GTTAAATGGTAATATCACAGATTATATAATCTGTGGTAATATAATGCTAACTATAAATTACTGTAGGTAACTTACTTTTATAGTATTATTATTTTAGTAATTTTGTTATATTTTATTTTAATATACGCATTTAAATAAAAAATTAACCTATTCCTATCATTGAACAGTACCTACTACAATATTGACTTAGAAGTTATCTACTAACAATATAATAAAAAAAAACTCTAGTCAATCAGACATTGAAGGTATTTCAATAACCGAATAATTTTGATAACAACAAATTATTTCTAACATAGATCTTACATAGATTTGTTAACTTTTAATTATTACCACATACCAATTTCTATAATTTATTAGTGTTCAAATAGATACAAGTAACTCATTAAAAAAATGTATGAGACATTTTTACATTTATATTACTTAAAAAGTTGTTACAATTTGATTAATATTAAAAGGACAGGGTAGTAGCCACTAGCCATAAGTAGTAGGTGCATTATATCAGTATAGCACTGCTTTCAATTGAAAGAAATTCAGTAAATTTGTTTTTTAATAGAAGATATTTAGAYATATTATATAAACATAATGTTAAGCCGTCTTTAATGTTCATAGTTATAAAATACAAATTGTATATTAATTCCACRAATAAAACATTTAAAAAATGATAAATGTTTAATAACATAGTTATTTATAAATAAAATGAGATGTAATTTCAATTATAAATGTAAAAAAGTATTTTAAATGTATATAAAAATAATATGTAAAAAAATATACATACAAGTGGTTTATATATTATAATATATAAAATTAATGAACTWAGGAATACTTTTCTTAGATAAATTTTAAATAAAAATTAGTTTTGGTATTTATGATAGTATCGCAAACTAATTTTTTCATCAAATTTTGAACAATATCATTTTGTATTTCCAATTCATCCATTTGAAAATCAGTCCATTTACTATTTTCTTCATACATTTGTTTCACTACAAATTTATTTACTTTTTCTTCACACTCGTCTATGTCAATAATCTGGTTCATTTTTTTTATTACAACATCACTTAATTCTTTAGGATTTTTTGGTTTAGCCCTAAAATGCTTCAATTTTTTTATAGATCTCTTCCATAAAGGTAAATATGTTTCGTCAATAAATAAGTCTAGAGCAATTTCTTTACAGTAATCAAAAATCAATGTTTTATAATCAACATGTAAAGTTGAATCTGATTCTACAATATAATCATTAGATAATGCACTTTGAGAACCATTGAAAATTTGATTAGAAGCTGTCAAAACTAAATTGTGAACTTCATCAGATGTATAAGGTATGTCAATAAGAGCTTTGGTTTTAGTGGGACTCTTATAAGGGGGAGGTGGCTTATTAGGTATTTCTCTAAGAAAAAATTGTACTTCTTCCGACATTCGAAGACGTTCAATCTGAAAAACACAAAAGACCAATAAATTATAAGATATAATTTATTCTGAGAAAACCATTCCTACTTACTTCTTCTTCAATAAGCTTTTGTTCTTGTTTTAATTTTTCTGCTTCTTTTTGGGTATGATCGAGCATAACATCATTATTTTCATCTTGGAAAGTCGGAGATTTTTTCTAAAACAGTTTTAATTAGAAATTATATATATGAACAAATCCAATTAGTTAATTAAATATTATCAATTTATAAGAACACATAATATATTAAAACCATAATTATTACCTGCTCTAAATACTTTTGATAAAACATTTCAAATGAATTTTCATCATCAACATCAATTTTGGGTTCTAGAGTAAAATCAATACAAGTTTATACAATACATACATATGTTACATTATTTACAAATTTTAAGCAATTTACGATTAATAATAAATTGACATTGCACAATAAATAAATAAAAAGTATCTAAGAAGTATTTATAAAAAATATAAAAACAAAACCACAAATTGAATTCTAGTTTATTATTTAGACAATAAAATGATAAATATGTCACTTACAAAATATACAATTTAAGATCTTAAATTTGGTAAGAGATTTTATTTAAAATAAAAAATGTAAAAAAAAATCAAACCAAAATACATCAAATTGATCCATTTCATAAACAATATGAATAATTGTAAGTAATGGATGTTTTTATGCATACTTGAAATAAATGTAAATATTTATTATTATGAAGCAAATTAACAGCATKCAGTAAAATAAGCATTAATAAAATAAACAAACAAGCAAATATTTTAGAGCAGTCTAATAACAACATAAAATAACAAACAAAAATATCATTCACTTACGAAAAACTAAACATTTCGATAATTTCAATTTTTTTCTTTTAGTAGAAGACCACTTTAAATATACTGTTAATTTTTCCATTTCTATTTCATTCAATATAGGTAAATACATTTGAAGAATTTCGGAAAAAATAGGTTGTAAATGCTGCTTAAAAAGTACATCTGAAATAATTGTTGATTGCTCTGAGAGAATAATCCTGTTTTGATTTTCTTCTTCGCGTTTTAAGATAAACAACAATGGAGTTTCTTCTGTTAAATTTTTAAGATAATTTTTCTCTGGATGAAATAATGATTTATTCATGTTACATTTAAATGATTTTTTAGCATCTTTTAGAAGACAGTTAAAAATGTTAGTGGTAATAACATGAACTTGGTCATCAGTAAAATTCTCATTTTGAACCTAAAATATAATACATAAGAGGTATGTTTAAGTTATTAGTAATAAAAATAACYTATTACTAGAGCAGGGATTTGTATGCATTTGCATATTTATTCTGGTTGATCGCATGATGACATACCGATTTAAAAAATGAAACTTTGTTAGTGCATATTTTTGCATATTTCGTCATTTTTCTATTTTAAGGGCTTATTTTACAATTTTTATTGCATAGGTATTTCATCTTTTCGTGCATATTTCAATGTTTTTTTTGAAAACTTTCTAAATTTATACTATTTTCAATTATAATATAACAAAAAAAAATTATATTTTTATAGTTTCGATTGATTCGATTAATATCAAAATATCAAAATATCAAAATACAGGTAAGTACATTTATTTTAGGAGAAATTTTTGATATAAATTGATTCCTTTTTTAATATATAGATTAAAGCTATCTGAAWATAGTGAAAGTGAAAAAAATAAAGAAAAGTGTTTTTAGTATTATTCGATATTTTTTTGTATAATATATTGTATTAATTAATTAAATGTTCCAAAAATAATTTTTTTTATGCATATTTGATTGATTTTTAATGCATATAAATCCACGCTCTACAGTTATTACTATGGTATAGTTTTATAATTTTACTTACAAAATCACTATGATAATCTGAATACTGTTCAATAAATGTTTTATCCTCAAATATTATTTCTCCTTCACTTCTTTCTTCTTCATGAGAAGTTTCACTACTTTGTTCACTATAATTTGATTCTATAATATTATCATTTCTATTAAGTTCATATGACCCAGGAAATTCTGAAGTACATTCATCTGATGTAAAATCTGGGCTATAAGTATCATCCAATCTAGTTWTATAATTAGGTTCTTCAAATTGACTGATACTGTTTTTCTGCATTTTGCATACATCAGTATCATTTTCATTTAAATTAACAATGAAATGTCTTTGAAGAGCACTACTATCAGATGAAGTTGTATTGGAGCAACTAATATTATCATCAATAATCAGTGATTTTGACTTTTTATCATCTATTTCAAAATATAATTCTTGGTTATTGGAAATTTCTGACATAATTTTGTTTGGAATAGAATACTCGCATAATGAAATATCTAAATTTATACTATTGTAAATTGTTTCATTTACTTCACATGAATGAGTTTCTTCCTTTAAATTTACTTTAAGATCATTTGGTGTATGAACGTCTAAAGCCTTCTGTGGTAGGGATATAAAGAGATTGCTTTCTTGAGTATCATTATCATGAGCATTTTTTAGAGCATTTACTTCTTCTGCAGTGCGCTTTTCATGTAGTTGAATATCTTCACAAATTGGGATTGTCCCTAAAGATTGAAATGATTGTTCTATACAATTATAACTATCAATATTTACTGAATCAACATTATTTGTAAGCATATCGTGATTGTCCTTTGATTTATAAACATTTATTTTTTTAAACTCATTTACTGGTTTGTCTAAGGATTTACTATGATTACATTCCTTATTGGTAGCAATTGGATAGAAATATTGCTTACCATCTATCCGTGTTATATTATCTGATTCATACATATGTTGACTGTGATCATTTTCATAATTAATTATATTTTGAAGAACAGAACAACTAGAATTTGTTGAAGGAGAGGAGTCATTTTTTGTTGAAGATTTTGATATAATCATATTTTTTTTCTTTATTTCGACCATCAAACTTTTTCTTGATTCTTCAATTTTCTTATCGTATAAATTAATCTGTTTCAAAAGATCTTGCTCTTTAGCTTTGAGATTCTCTAATTTAAGTTTTTTTTGTTCTTTTTTCAATCTAAAAGATTCTAACTTTCTAGCTTCAAGTTGTTCTTGTAAAGATATTATCCGTGTATCCAGATCACTCTGTTCTGAATTTGTACCTTGAAAATAAATGAATATACATAATTAAGTAGAACTTTATTTTGAAATTTCAACTATTTTATTTACTAATCGATGTTTCTGTTGGATATTTTCTCAGTTTAACAGGAACTGTAGATAAAATTGGAGACAATGATCTTTTATCCTTGGTTTTAATTGCATCAAACATTCCATTTTTATAAGAAAATTCAATTGGATTAGATGATTTTATAATTTCATTATTTGTATGGTTACATCTAAAYATTTTATAACTAGTTAATAATCATATTATATAAACAGCTATTAAAGAAAACCCTACACTTACTCTGTTTTAGAAGTTTGTATAGATTTATCAATGACAATTTGTGATGAACATTTAACATCTGTTTGAACTTTGACATTTTGAACTTGATTGAAAATATTTGTTCCAATACTAATAGGAGAAGTTGCTTGGTCTATTAAACAGAAATCTAATGTTATTAAAAATTAAACATAAAATTTTAAAATGAATACAGTAATAAAATGATAAATAGATAATTAATTTAAAAATACAACTGACCTCAATAATAATATTTATCTTTTTATAGTTTATAATATAATAAAATGTGTAACAATAAATACATAAAATGAAAAATTTTGATAATAAATTAACTCACTTTGCGAAATGATTTTAGATTTATTTAATTCAAATAATGTTGGTGATGTATTATTTTTTGATTCAATTGTATTAATGTTATCATGTTCACTATCGTTAGTATCAAAACAGTCAGATTTATTAAATTCTTTAAAAACATGAGAATTAAGTGACTGACAACCATGTTCATCTTTCTAAAATCAAATGTTTCTTATTAATCTCAAATATATCTAAAGTCTAATAAACAAATATTACCTTTAAAAATTGATCTAAGCTTTTTAATTTACGTATAACTTTTTTGGAAGATGATTGGTTTCTCAAATGTTGTAAATGTTCTTCAAGCATTATAAAGCGTTGCTTATATACTGAATCTATTACTCTACCAAGTCGTTTTACTTGAGACAATGAGTGTTCCAACTTTTTTACAGTACCTCGTTGTTTTTGTTTGAATAACTGAAATTGTTTTTCATGACCAAGTCTGTTTTTTAAATTCCTATAAAACATACAAAATATTGATTGTTAAAATTAAATGTAGAATAAAACTTTTATTTTTATTCTTTATTTAAATATTTTCTATATTTTTACAAAATATAAATAATAAGCAATAAAAATAACATGAGAAAAGTATACACGAACACATGAATCACATAAAAATCAAGCCAAATGAACTTTAAAATATTATAAATAGTTCTTACTTCACTTGAAGGTCATACATAGTAATTTCCCATTTCAAACGATTAGTTAAAGATTTTTCCTTTAAACTAAGTATGGTACGGTGTTGGTTTGCCCTGAGTTCTTCATCCTTAATTAATTGTTCAAACTAAAAAAATATACATCAATATTAGTAATAGTAAATATATATTGTATATTCAGTGGTGGGCCCAAAACGCTCAATTTTGACACAGTCGCATCAAATTTTTAAAGAATTGGAGACAGTGGTGCTGAAGTCAATGATGAGGTCCAGCTACGGGCTATAGCACAAATTCTTTTAGTCAAATTTTATTTACATTGTATCTAATTCTATTACAGGTAAATAATGTATATTAGAGTAAATTGTGAAATGGCGGTGTAAACACTTAAATGTGGAATCGCGCTAATTAAAATTCTGAGTATCTCAGTATATGAGAAAATTAGATTAATAGGTTATTTTTTTTTTTTTGTGATCTTGAAATTAATATTTTAATTGAGTTTAAAGTATTTAATTTACTACCTACTAAAATATATTCAATTATTTAATGATAAATAAATATTTTAAATAAAATAATCAGAATTTGCATATTTTTCTATAACTTAATATAAAATCAAATATTGAATAAATAATTGTTTATTTAAGCTGATTTATTCATACATTTATATTTTTATTCATAACATTACAATTTGTAAATAGTAGTGAGTACCAATTCACACTAAGTATTAAATAAAAGTAAATATAATATTATTACCATTTGAATAGAAAAACCAGTTATTGTTTTATCTACACACATCATATTTGACGATAAAGCGTTTAGTTTGGAAAGTGGTGTTGGAATATCACTCTCAATAAAATTACATTGATCATTCAGTTCAACAGATTGTTTCTGAAATGTAAAATATCAATTAAAATGTTATAACTAAATAAAACTATCTGTTGAATTATTAAGAAGAAATATAAAAATATCACAGTATTACTTTAGATTTAATTGACATGTCGCAACTCATTCTTTCGATATCACATAAGGAGTCATTTAATTGGTCGAGTGTATMAAGTTCTGCTTGAAATTCATCATGGATTTCAGGAAACTAATAACATTAATATAATCTTAAAATTGAGCTTATTTAGTAACTTAATTACTCACATGATGCGATGATCCATTATTTGAACTATTTTCATCAAATTTTAAATTTATGCAACTGCTATGTAAATCATTTGATTTACAATAATCATTTTTTGTCAATAAATCAAAGTCATAATTAAGCTTAGTTAAAACTTGTTTAATATCTTTATTAGTTATTATATTMAATTTAGTAAATAGTTTGTCACTATCAATTATTTCTTCACAATTATTATTTTCAATAATTTCAATTGAAGATAACTTATTAGATTTTGGTTTAGTTGGTTTATCAATTAATGAAGGTTTAAAGCTATCTGAACAGTTTTTTGTTTCACCATGGTGAACATTTGATAAATTTACCTCTTCATCACAAATATTTACATCTGTTTTATTAAATTGAGTAGATTCAACATTATTGACTTTATTAGAAAACAAATTATTTGTTATTGTATATTCATTCATATTTAAGTCCCCTGCAGGGTCATAAAATTCCAAATTATTTTTTTCTGATTGTTTTAAATTTTGTTTACATTTTAATACTGAAATAAAACTCATTGGAGGTGGAGGAGATTTAGGAGCCGACAATGATAATATATTGTTAAGATTTTCAGTTTGGGTTGATTCTGATAAACAATTTTTAACTGGCGAACACTGAACAAACAATAATTCTTGAAGCTCTTCTAGATTGTCAATGCTTTTCATAATTTCTTCATGGGATCTAATAGGCAACTGCAAGCCTGTTTGTGATTTAGTACTATTATTTATAATATACGAAGGTTGTATACTCAAATTAATGTCGGGCATAGTCAATGTCTCTCTGTTCAAATAGGCACTATCACTTGGTTGTTTTTCATTATCATAGCACGATCCATTTGACAAGGTCACTAAAATTACTAATCATAATTATCTTTATATTTTTAATAATTATAAAACAATATACTTACCACCATTATTTTCATTATTATCTTTTTGAACGAAAGAAGTATCAGAATCAATTAGTTTAGGAATCGGAATATCAAATAAATTCTTTCMAAATAGTTTATAATCATCATTGAATTTCAGTTGAGAAAATAAATTTTCTGGTTTGGTAACATAACGTTTTTGAGATTCTAAACAACCAACATTAAAAGTTAAAAATATTAAGTATTTATATATACAATAATGAGACATACTTGGGTCTATTAATTTTGTTGTTGAAATTGTATTTGGTTCTGTTGATATTTTAGTAGATGAACATGTACTTATAATCTAAGGTTAAAAAATAATCATAATACATACTATAATTAAATAAAAATTAACAATGTTATTGTAATTATTGTTCTTTAATTTCTAACTAATACAGATGATACAAACTATTCGATTTTCAAATTGAACCAAACCAAATACCTAATAGTTTGGTTCAATAATCCAACTAGCAAAATAAAAAATAAATTTTAAATTTTAATAAATTTTAAATAAAATAATATCTAATTTTGACTTTTTTGGTTTGTTCCAAAAAAATTTGAGTTCAGTTTGGGTTTGATTCAAAGTGTATAGGTTTGAATCTGTTTGAGTTCGTTAATTTAAAAAAAGTTTGGTTCGGGTTTGGTTTAACTTTAAATATTATGGTTTGTAACATCTCTACTAATTAAAATTGAGCATATAAAAATTAAAATACTTTTTATTTTTGATAATTAATAATACCTATAACCACATTTTGACTATTAATAATGTTTTTTAAAAAACTAAATAGTAGATTTATTCAAAATGTAGATTCCATACCAAGCATAATATGAGGGAATATATTATATTGATATATTTTAGAGATGTTACGAACTGTTCGATTTTCGAACCGAACCAAACCAAACTCTGGGTGTTCGGTTTGGTTAGAAAACCGATTGGAAATTCCAAATAATCAAACCAAACCAAATATCTAATAGTTCCGTTCGATAATCGAACCAGAGAAATAAAAATAAAAGTCGACGGAGTAACGGCTAAAATTATAAATTATTATTAAATAATTAATATTAGTTGTTTAATGTTTGCTTTTTCATATCAGTTATCACCATGTTAATAATTAAAAATTAAAAATCTCATGCATATAATAATTAACTATTAAAGTATTTAAGTAAATAGTAGTAAAACCTTTATTCAATAATTCTGAGGTATTGTGGCTAAACGATAAATAAATAAATAAATAAATAAATATTAAATAAAATAATATCCAATTTAACTTTTAATGTTCGGTTCGAGTTCGATAAAATATTTGAAGAGTGCGGTTCGGTTTGGGTTCGATTAAAAGTGTATAGGTTTGGATCTGTTCGAGTTCGTTAATTTAAAGAAAAGTTCGGTTCGACCTTAAATATTATGGTTCGTAACATCTCTAGTATATTTATATKTATATAAAATATTATAAATAATTTAATGGCATGCAAGAAATAGAAGAAATAGGAAATATTTGGCACATAACATATGCTATCCATGTCTTACGATATTATGATTGAAAGAAATTAAATACAAATACTTACATTTTTTGCATCATTTGAACATTCATCTGTGATTTCAAAACCTTTAATTGACTTTTTTTGTACATTTTTTGGAGCTTCTAGTGGTTTTTTTAAACTTTTTATTTTAGGTGGAGGTGGTGACCAAGTTTGATCAACCTAAATAAAAATTTTATAAGAAATATATAAATTTTATAATGAATTAAAAATAATTTATGCTAAGTAATATACTTTAGATTCATTTGATTCAGTTGGTAAATTAATACTAATTTTTTGAAAATTTTTAAGAGCTTTTAGTGGTTTTTTAACACTTTTAACTTTAGATGGAGGTGAACATGTTTGATCAACCTAAAGATACAATTCATAAATATTATCATATAAAATATGTTAGTAATGAATGCCAAATAATTAATGTTGTCAATGTCGAGTACTAACWTTAGTTTCATTTGATTCAATTGGTAAATTAATACCAATTTTACATTTGTCTTGAACACGAAGAGTCTAAAAATTTAAGTTAAATTTTGTCATTGGCTTAAAAAATATGAATTTTATAATGTTAAAACTTATAAAAATTTTACTCTTCTAAGAAGAAATGTAAACTTTATGTTTTTATTTGATTATAAATTTAATATTTAATCATGGTTATTTAGAGTATCTATTTAATAGATATTGACATAATATACAATCATTATCCATAATGCTTTCTTTATTTTTGAATATCATTACCTTTTGCTTATTAGAAGCTTTAGCTAGTTCTCTTGTAGTTTGTTTTAATTGATCTAATTTTTTTTTTCGTTCTTCCGCCAACCTTTTTTTCTCCAATAAATCTAGTTTACATTTTTGAGATCGTTCTTTTTTTTTTTTTTCAATGTATAATTTTGTCTCTATAGCTTTAGTATTTTTTTCAGGATCCTTTTGCTCTTCAACAAAATTATTTAATATTATTTTATCAACTTTGGTAGTTGGTTTATTTGTTGGAAGTATATCTGAATTAATATAAATATTTAAGAAAATTAATATACAAATTGGCAGTTAAAATATTATTGCATTAAATATCACTTACATTGTTTATTAAGCAGAACAGTTTCATTGATTGTTGGAATTGGTGGTCTTATAATTGCTTTATTTAAAATTTGAACTTTATCCTTAACTGTAGGAAAATTTGGTCTAAATTGTTGCTTACATGTATCACCTTCTAWTATGGCTTCTGATGTATGAATCATATTTTTAGGTTCTTTTAGCTTATTTGGACTAATTTCTTGTATATTCAAACCAATATTTCTGTGAATAGACATTTTTCTACAAAACTGTAAATGGTTGAAGCTGTTTAAGATCACATTATGAAATCTAGTTAACAGGTGACATAGTAGTAAATAATTAAAAACAAACAAATACAAAATAAAATAATATTATACTCACCACAGTTTTGGTTTATAATATAATGTAAAGAAATAGTTTTTTTGAGTGTGATCAATTAAATAATTCATCATTGAATTTATGGCATATTTAGTTTATTAATTTTATTATACATAATAAATACACTATGATAAGGTAAATTAAAAACAAATCATGAAATATAATAAATATATTATAAGACAAATTTTAGATTTTTTTCTATTTTCTGTTATAAAATATCATAAAAAAAAATAAAAAAACAAATGTATAATATAAATAATTATAATATGAATTCGATGAATGCTGTTATCAATTGTTATCAGTATTTATCATAGATAATATAATATACATGAATAGGACATCCCAGCATATACCACAGAACAATAAATTTATTTTGTCATGCCTATACCTATATTTATACATGGTATGCTGTGAGCGAAGTCGAGTCTACTCGTTACCATATTGGTTATATGCGGTTACAGATACTGGTTTATGATAAATAACATTTTTATCAATCTGATTTGTGCCAATTTTTGAATCAATACAATTATTAATTACATTTTWATTCATTATTTATTTATTTTTTAATATTATTTATTTAAAATACTCATAGAGATCAGTTAAGCGAGGAATGTATTGGTTTTACAATGATGTTTATTATTTTCTTTTTCTTTTTCTTTATCTTTTTTATTCGGTAAACACTTTTTTTCCTTTTACACTTACTCAAAAGTATCAAGTGTAACATCTTTTCTGAAAAGTAATGTTCTTGAGCTGGTACTTTAGAGGAGACATTTTTCGATTTTCGAAACGGTACTCAAAATAAAAGCGGTTAAWGGAGAAAAACGTACGATTTCACGATTTTTTAATATTAAATAATTACGGACGACGTTTTTTACCAGAAATATAGCTTCAAATGAAAATGACAAGAGATCTTTTTTGTTGTATTTTAGATTTTGTTCCTAACGGTTTAAAGTTCGGAAAAATTTAGCTAGTTTTGAACTATTTATAGACATTTTCATTTTGGGAGTTTTTTGTTATAATTCGGTTAAAAACATTCGTATTGAAATTTGGGTTGTTTACTTCAGCCTTACATGGTAAAATTTTCAAAACATTTGAGCGACTTTTTAAATCGAAGATAAACCGTCTCCGCTCAAAAATCGTTTTTCGTACCTATACAATAATGATATAATATTATTTGATTTAAATTTAATTCCATCCATTACAGTAACCCACTTGTAACATTACTGTAAAGCAGAGCGACATCCACGACTTACCCGCTTTTTTACATTTGACTCYCTAATGTACCAACTAAATCTAACTTGTTACCAAAAACCATTTGTTTATGTACAACTGTACAAGTGATACACATCATCGCACAGATACTATTTATGAAAACCTTGGGTCGGGTAATAAAAGACACGGATTGCCATTATTAGCTCAACGTCGAGTCGGGAACAATCCGATCATTACCGCGTTGTAAAATAATATACTAATACCTAATAATATCTGTTTTAAATAGTGTATTATTCAATGTATAATTACCATCAATAAAAGCAATTTATATTCAATATACAGTCCACTTTTATTTCTTTTAAATTTTGTTCAAATTATAAACTGAGCCAAAACACCACTATCAAGACTGAATGTTGAAACATGTTTGGGTACTGTTCCAAATAATTATGTTAGACACAAAAATATAAAAAGATACAAATTAT